ATAATAATATCACTCTAAAACTTAGGATAATTACTAGAATATACCATGTGTTGCCTTTTGTGGGCAACCGTATTATTTTTGAAATAAAATGCAATGATTACATTAATTAGAAGTTAAAATTACGTTGTTTTAGAGTTTAATATTCTCTATGTATAAAAAAAAAAAATAGTCTTTTTTTTTACTTGATCTCCAAAATAAGGATATGAAATTAATATTTGCATTTATTTATGATTTCTTAAAAATGAAATAAAAACAGAAAAATATTTTTGTAATTGAGTAATTAATTAAAATGAATAAATAATAATATGATTAAAGTATGAAAAAAATTTGTTTTAACTTAAAAAATAAAAAAAATAAATCCAAAAAAAATTAAAAAAAAAAAATATTAATTATTTTATAATAAAGAAAGTACTTAACACAACCTACAAGTCAAATAAAAACTAAAATTAGGTACATCACATAGGTAGGCAGTAATGTTTAGCACTCACTTATGCTTTTGCTGGCAAGCAAACTCAAGCTTAGTCAAATACTTGTAAATTAGAGTTCAAGTTCAACAAGATCAATAAATATTTAAACTCTAACTCAAATTCAAATATTTAAAATGAATTCAAAGATAAATAATTAAATACTTGATTCAACTCAATTCATTAACTGTTTTAATAATAATAAGCTTTAAAAAGTCATGGGAGGAAACATTGCTTCGTGGTTGGTTTAGAGAAACATCTTCCCGACCTTGGCACTGGTCCAACTTTCGCATTCCAATAATAGGTTCAAATTATTGCTCATCTTGGCTTTCACGTGCTTTGCAAAATCTACTTCTAAGAAACCGGACGCAATGTGCCATATCAAAAGGGCTATAAATACCAACGAGTGGATGAATCAAATGTTAAGCGATTTGTTCCAGCTTAAATAAGGTTTCGAGTTCGAGACTTTGTGTACGCAGCAGCCATCGTTAGGAGATTCACCCACAATTTTCAAGTGCGCGATGTAGGTCGGGTCTGAATTAGTCGGGGCAAAGCCCCAGATACCGAGCGGAAAACCAAAAAAAAAAAAAAAAAAGGGCTATAAATGCAGCTTTCTGCCAGTCTTTAAGAGTAACTCGTTAATCAGCTGCATCACACAACTCTTACGGGACAAAACAACACTTCAAGACAGAATTGATGCCTGATCAGGAATTCACTTCAACAACCCATCTCATTTGGTTTCCACAAGCGCATCCATACTCAGCCCCTCCAGCACTTGCACTCACCCATCGGCTTTGCATTTCAGTCTGCCATCTATTATACATCATGTGCAAGCAATTCCCAAAGTTTTAGAATCACCTTGGACAAAATCCTTACTGTGAAGATGCGCTAGCATAATAAATTTATGCCACTCAGAAACGCAATTTGCACGAGGCGACCAATCATTGCCACACAAATAATATAGTAAGTCCATTTGATTTGATTAATTTTATCTATCTATAACTTCTTTTTCTTAAGTGTCTAGAAAGATTTGCCCATGGACTAATTTATTACCAACAGTCAAACTATACAGAGTGAGAATTTTGTGTGGCAATAACCATGTCCTTGCACAAGTCACTATCTTAACTTTTGGAACAAATGATATATAGGATAAAAGACATTGATAGATTGACAATCTTTTCAGTTTAGTTCTATCGCCAGGACAGCATTTTGACAAATTTAAGTTGGGGGGCAACAAATGATATACATGAACTTAATTTGCTTTCCAAGGTTCAACTAGTATACAAAACAATGATGCTTTAAAAAAACGTCTCATCACATGTCACGTAATCTACTATGTTGCATTGGTATTTCTGAATCTAGTGAATCCTGACTCAAGGGTTGTGTTAAAGATACACTCTGTTGTTGTTGCTGATTCACATTCTCACCTTGATTATCTATTTCGGAACTACTGGATGGCTTGGCACCGCTGGTAATGAGGTTTCTAAACCAAGTTGCTTGAAATCTGGCGGATCCTCTGTTTGAATCGCCAGGAGAGTCAGGAGTTCCTCCATTGGCACCAGAGGTAACACCCGCAAGGAAACGATATGCCACTTTGCTGGCTGATACTATCTCTGTCTTGGCTTGTCTCAACTGCAATGACCACAAGTTAAAGATGAATAATATGACTTTGACTACCAAGGTTCAAAATTAACTGAATCAGATTTTTATTTTTATTGGCAAATCAGAATTATCAAAAATAAGCCTTGAGGATATCCACAAGTTTAACCTGATGATTAACACACATTTAGGGCCAGTTTTAAATAATGAAATCCATGCATTACTAGTTTCAATGCTACATGCATCAAAAACTAGACAGGAGCAAATGAAAGCAAATAGTTTCATTAGCTTGTGTTCTATATGTTCATGGAAACAAGCGATAGTTTAGCTAACATTTTTAAGTCACAAAAAAACCGTTTTTAATTTTTATACCATCACAAGGAGCAAGACAAAATTCTCACAATATTGGAAAGCAAAACCAGCCCTTCGAGCACTCCCCTTAACAACTGAATGTTAGTGTAATGATTGCATGCAGATAAAACTAGTGACAGAACCAGACAAATCCAGATAGAAGGTGAACAAGTAGAACATGCTCAGCAATACAGATGTGCTTAATTGTGCAGGGAAGCTCATGAGTGCATACGGTTATGGGGTCCAACAAGTAAATTCTTGAAGGCACCAGGCAACTAATCATTAAAAAATTCAGATCTAAAATCAAACTCACAATCAGATATTGCACAAGGAAATCTCACCCGTAGAGCTGTGTTTCCTGCAATCTCAAGAGCTGTATCACCAGCATTAGCGAAGCGATTAACCCAACCTGTTGAAAATTTGTTAGAAGACATACTTCCAATAAATCCAGAAGACATTCATAGTGACATAAACTATCTTCTCTTAAAATCCATATTTTTCTGTTGCATCTTGATAAAACTGGGGAATGGTAGAAAAGTAGAAAAAGGCCCAGTTTTCATCACGAGACTTCATTTTGTTTGAGCTACTTAGCAATGACGCTGCAATATTATCAATTTAGATGTCCCAGCTCCCTTCATTTTCCTCTTTCTCAAACAACAGAAGAGGTGGAGGAGGAAGAAAAGAACAAAACAGGCAGTTGCAATATTATCAATTCAGAAGTCACACCTCCCTTCCTTTCCCTCTTTCTCAAACAACAGAAAGAGGGGGGAGGGAAGGGAGGTGAAGAAAAGAACCAAACAGACCTTTGTCTGATGATTTAAAAGTAAGGCCCTGCCATAAGCAAATATGAGGAAAAGCTAAAAATAATAGTTCCCCAAGCCAACACAAACAAAAATATCTCATATAAAATCAGAAAAATACTCAGCTCAAATGTAGCACTTATAACTCAAAGATACCTGATATCTTTCCCTTGCAACCTTGACTAAAAAGATATGTTAAATGAGTATGAGTTAGAAGCAGCAGGATACAATGTGGTACACAGCAGTAATCGTTAGACACATCTACAGCTCATCAATTCACTTTCAAGTAACACAGTTTACTTCAATTTAGGTTCCAAAAAGACCAATCAATAATTCAATATCAAATGAAGTATACCTGGAAGCTTTGGTACACCAAGCCTTTCGCAGAGCTCATCACAGAAGTGATTGCAATTTTTGGATAACAAGTCATATGCATGTCCAGGCCACTCTCTACTAAGTTCCTGCAAGATCTGGTTTACCTTGAAAATTGAGCAGTTTGTTTTACCAAGGACAATGGTCTCACGGTATGTATACATTGGATTCTCTCTAGAAGGACAATGAAAAACTCCAGTTCCTTGGTCACAATACCCAAAGGACCATTCATCAGCTCCATAAACCTAAAGTATATAAAGAATTAAACAAATAATGTTATCAAAAATCACCCGCCCTAAATTGAATATAGCTTGACATGGCATCATCAATTAAAAGTAAGGATAGAGATAAAAAAGGCCAATGCTCACCAAAATTAGTATCCATTCTTCAAATGACAATAAGATGAAGACAAATACACATAAAATTGTAAAAAGGGTTCACAAAGCGCTAATCTTTACATAATATCTACAAAATAAATATATGTAAGACATAACAAATGAATAAATTTAGATCAGGTTAAATAAAAAATTGGTTGCATCTAAAAAGTATGAGAAAAATGAGCCAATGAACAAAACCCAATGTTGGCCAAAAATAAAATATAAGATATAAAAAACAATCTACCTTGGGCAATATATTGACAACCATTGCTAGTCCCGCTAAAAAACTAAAGAAATCATCCCTTCCGAAACTAAAGAAATCAGAAGAGTATTTTCAAGGACTTCTTATAAAACAATTTAGTTGTAGGAATCTCCAAGGTTCAGGATTGCAGCAATTGCATACTTCCCACACTAAACCAGCAGATCTTCGTCTACAATGACAGCATTTCAGGACTTCTAAAATCACTTAAACAACAAGAGCATAACTCAATGAACAACAAAAAACCTGGATATAAGACCAAAGCAAGCATAATCACCGCCGGACTCCTCCTCAACAGAACAAAATCCCTAGATCTCATTCAGCACAAGAACACCAACGCGAAAAAATAAGGAGAGAAACGAAAAGAACCTGAACGGCGCTGTGGAAGATGCCGCCGAGGCCGATTCCGTCCTTGAAGATCTTATTGATTTGAAGAATGGTGTTATTGGTTTTCTCCGATCCACTGTTCGTCACGTCGTATATATGCAGTATTACATCTATCATCTTCACCAAAAACCCTAATCTCTCTCTCTCTCTCAAACACTGTTCAACACAAACCCCAACCCCAACTTGTCTTCTCCTAAACTCCTCAACTCAAGCAAAACCACTCAATTTCGGTTCAGAATCACATACTCTCGAAAATCAGCGTAATCTCTGAAAATCAGTGAGGGACAAATTTCTCGAAATTCAGAAATTCAGGATTCTTTCTACTAAGTTTTAGTATTTGACAATTTGAAGAATGGGGGAGATTGGGAAATGGTTGAATTAAATTCAATCTTCAAAAATTGGGGCTAAGAGAAAGGACTTTTAGATTTACATTTACGGTCTGTATTTTTTTAATCTAAAATACGTAAATTTTATGAGATTGAAGATTTTTAAGATGAAGAATGATAGGGGAGGAGAATTTGAAATAAAAGTATAATATTAATGATATGATTTATATTATATTATTAAATTAATTGATTATTATAATATTATATATTTTAAAATTTT